CCTTCTCTTCACTGTGGCTCACTTCATTAAAGCTCTGAATTGACTGTGTTTACAGGTCTGGAGACTTTGTGTATTTATGTTGTGTGTACCTCTGTGTGTTTTCAGAAGGAGCTACCAAACAAAAGTGACTGTCCACACATGTGTGCCTACAAGCTAGTCACTGTTAACTTTAAGTGGTTTGGACTGCAGAACAAAGTAGAAAACTTCATTCAGAAGGTATGAAATAAAAAGTGCAGAATAAATATAACCTAATGCACATATTTCTGCACAAAAAACAATAAATTCCAGTGTGTCCTGACTGTCTTTCACACGTCCCCTCTGTTCAGCAAGAGAAGCGTTTGTTCACCAAATTCCACAGACAGGTGTTCTGCTGGTTAGACAAATGGATTGATCTGACGATGGATGACATACGACGTATGGAGGAGGAAACGCAGAAGGAGCTTGATGAGGTGACTGAGGACTGTATATTAGACCTGCTGGAGGGTGGAGCAGTATTTCTTTGTTGCCCTTCACATTTATTGAGATCTCTTATGTAGGAAAAAAAGGCAGTTTTAATATCTGAATTTTAGTTCATGAAAACAGAGCTCATTGGCTCACTGTGGTGTGTTACAGCAGCATGTTTGTGTTGTCTTTGTCAGTAAAATCAATGATCTGATGAAATTAACAGTTCAACTGCTCATGTTATCAATTCTTGGTGACTGGTAACAGTGAGTTGCAATATGCAGTGAAGAATTTAAAGTTTGATCTCACTGCTCCAATGTGCTGCAATGGTGCTGCTCCCTTTGTTTCTGCTTGAAAACAGTTGTTATAAAAGCAGAAACGGCCCCAAACACTGTTTATGTGTTTGCCTGTAATAAGATCAAAGTATTTTGGGTCAATGTGAAGAAGGATCTTTCTAAAACAAGAACTGGGAGCTGAGCAGTATTTCACATCACTTTCTTTAGTGCACTAATCTGGTTTTCTACCCTTCTAAATAATGTGTCTCCATGTCACAGATGAGGGTCAAAGATCCAGTTAAAGGCAGTACGGCTGCTGAAGACTAGCTCAGTGAGTATTTAACTGGTGCTCTGAAGAATTTTCAAACTGAACCTAAATGTTCAATCACTCTTCAATTGTGTTTGTTCTCTTCTCCTCTTCAGCTCATTTTGATACTGGAAGACTTGACTCCACTCCCTGACTGGCGCTGCTGAAACTGGACTGCTATAAACAAGAAAAGCATTTACGTCCCAATAAAAATCTTGTCTTAATAAGATCTCATTGTTGTGAAGCTGTTGTGTATATTTATGTATTATGCTGAAATACAAGTACAGCAGCTTTTAGTGCTTTTAAAGAAGTGGGTTGCAGGTTGAGGGAGAATTCTTATTTATGCTTTTGGTCGTTATATCTTAAACCACTGGGGGGGACAGTGCAGGTTATCTCTGAAACAACATTCCACATTACTGTAATCTTTTTTTCTTTTTCTCCCCCTTCTCCTCATCTCAGTGACTTATTGTTTACGTACCTGCAACTGCAAAATCTCCAGTGTTAATAAGATTTTATATTTTTCTTATCTATAAATTGTCTTGTTGTGTCTTAACTATAAGTGGACAAATGCTTTCAAAATCTCCAAATTTCTTGATTTCATAAAGGGCTCAGACTGGATAATCCTCCACCTTCCTCTGCCTCAAATTATTTCTTGTAATCAGATAGATATTGGGGGTGGGGGTGGGGGGGTGTTTTGTATTTCATTGGGTTGATGATTTGTTGATATGTGTTGAAGATGTGTTGCTGATAATGTGCAAGAAGACCCTGAACTCTAAGCAGATTTCAAAATAATTGACACTACAGCCACTTCTGTCTTGATGATTGTTCAGATGTCTAAGTCTTCCATGTACTGAATGAAATGAAAGAACCTGGATATAAATATGAGTTATAACATTGTTCATTGCATTTGTACATATGTATTTGTATCTCTGTAAGTGTCTCGGTGATCTTTTAAACCTTCAGCAACACCCCCCCACCAAAGACCCTTTCTGTGATATAGCTGAATGTCTTTAGACCATGCAGATCATACAATATCCAGAGTAATTCATAACATTTATTGTGATTTTGACCTTTATTTTCTGTGACACATTTGGGTGCCACAAAAAAGGAAATGGGCTGTCAGTGCCCTGGAGAAAAATATTCACATGTGCGTTTTGAAACTAATTTTTTTTTTTTTTTTTTTTAAAGCTTTAAAATACTTGGCAGAAGTCAAGTCTTGATTACTGGCATTTAATATTGTTGAAGACAGGAGTCTGATTCCTCATGCTTTAACAGAAATAGTATTTAGTTGTTTTTTGTTTTTTTTTTAGCATTATTTTGTGTTCTTTGCAGAACTTTTTTGAGTAAACTTACATTTTTACTCGCGTATGATTATATTATATACTGGCAGTTTAGATTGAAATAGATTTGGTGTACAAACAATTAACTCTAGCGTTTTTCTTTTAAACTAGCCAACTTCCAGTCTCAATTAACAGGCATTTTCCCGGTTTTGTGTGCCAGTCGTGTGTCTTACTTGTAACTAAGTCCTTGTGCCTTATCTTGTTCGTGCTTTTATTTTGAAAGTAATCAACTTCCCTATTTTCCCTATTAGTGAGCCCGCAGGCTGGATTATTGATGTACTGTACAGCTTCCTGCAAATAGATAAAACAACATTCACAAATACTACTAACGCATAAAAGGTAGCGTACGATAAATCATTATCGGGCATAATTATTGATTAAAGTGTTTGCTGTTGAATGTGAAAAAGCAAGACGCTTGGTTTCGCTAACTGCGCAGTGTAGCTAGCGCTGTGTTTATCAGATGCAGCACCACGGTAGTGAATGGCTGTAAGATGTTAGCTGGGTGTAAATAAATGCTACAAACTTGGTAGAAAAGAATATGCACAAGCCGGGGGTGGAAAATGTGCCCTACTCAGGTTAGTTAAACCTCAGTCCTTACATGAAAACTTTGTGAGTTAGCGTTGTCAGCTAACAACTATGCATAAGAGTTGTACTTTTACTTTAGTTTGTCCTTTCATTTCGTGGCGACGTGAGCTTAATGAAGTTGATTTGACTGAATTTGCCTCTTTGCCTGCCAGGTGTGGACCCGATGGAGGACAGTGAAGAGCCACTGGAAAGTCAGCAGTTAGACCTCGGGGAGAAGGAGGAGGAAGGCTTCAGGTTGGTGCATGGATGTGAAAGATGAACAGAGTCACTGTGACCGGGTCGGTGTTAGCTTTGTGTTTCTCTGGGAGCCAGAAGTGACTGTATTAGAAAAGGCTTTAGGTTATCAGGTAACTAGCAAGCTTTGCCGATCATTTGAATTTATAAAGTGTTGGGGTGAGACACTAGTCTCACCCCAACACTTTATAAATGTGTTAATTTGCTAGTGCAAATTAACACATTAGAGGTTCACGCAACTTAATGGAGTACGGGCTTGCGTATCAAAAAATCCTTTTAAAAAGCTCCTAAAGTCACAGTCGGCATATTTATAAAAAAAATAAAAAATCAGGGGTCTAGTTAAGTGAAGCGTGGACAGTAATTTAGAAAATTAAATTCATGCATTCAGTATGACTTGAAAGTAGAGCACGGATGAGGTGCATATAGACAGATGAAGCCTCCGGGTACATAAACTCCAGTTCCTGGCTTCAAAAGCTTATGTCTCAATTCATACCAACTCACGGGATAAAGGTAAATTGTAATTCAGCTGTTTGGATGGTTTAAGCTTTACTGGGAATTTATGCTTTAGCTGTAAATTTGCACTGTAGCTACATCATAACTGGAAACCCCTGTGAAACCAAACAAAGTAAACTGGGCAGTTAAACAACAATTCTCTAGAAAATGTAACTACGCGTGGGGTCCATGGTGTCCACAGCTATGGTGATTGATCTTAAAGTTAGCGAAGATCACACACCACCTAATGTACTCAGCTAAACCTCTCCATCATGTCTGTGGTGTATTTTTAGTGGACTTTTCCATATTTTATTAATGGTCTGTATGATTTACTCAACTCAAGTCTCAGAACAGGACGTACTTGTGGTTTGTTTGTTTGTTTGTTTTTCTTACTTGCTTGATTTTTCTAGTCCTGTGGTTTTTAGTCAGTTTTGGTGAAAAGTCTTTAACATTAGATATCAGACATCCAAAAACAAACAAATAGAGAAGAAATATTTCACCTTTCAACTTGAATAATTTGAAAGCAGGAAAATGCTGTTGTGCTGCAACAGCAGTGATCTACTTTTTGTAGGAACTCAGTCTTGCAGTGCCCAAGTTGGTTGGCTTATTTATATTAAGAAACAACAGAACATTTTCTTGCTGTTCTCACTATATTGTACTTCAGCTCCAGCCCTTTTCCCACATGTCTTCTTTTTTTTTTTCCCCACTGATAAGGCATTTCTGTCTTGTGTGTTGTGGTGTTGTTTTAGCCAGTTGAGCTTCTCCTTTTGTTGCACCAACATGACATCACCAAGTTTAGTGGTAAAGCTGGTTAAAAGACGTATTCCTTTCCTTTCCCCCCCGCTGAGCTGTGTTTGTCCTGCCTTTCTTACTGTGTGATGCATTTCCACATTAGCTAATGTAAGGCTTGTGATATTCTGGCTGCCTGGTGTTGCTCTCAGGACTTTCAGCCTTTTCTAGAAGCACGTATGTTTGTCCCATTTGGGTTAAATGTGCTCCAAGACCAGACACAGTCCGCTGTTTGCCAGTGAACAAATGTCACTGCATTCTGGCAGGTGGATTAGGTTGCCCAACAATACATACCTAATGCGGATTTGAGGGGGGAAAAAGCAATGTGTTGCTGGTGTTCTGCCCAAGGAAAGGACAGCCTGACGGCTTGCTGAATGAAAAGGGACGTGTTTCCAATCACCCATGCTAGTTGATTTCCCAATGTTTAATAGGACTAACCTTTAGACATTTAACAATGAGATTATAAATAGTTTTCAGAACACAAAGACAAATTGTGGGCAAATGAACCAATTCTCTAATCACTCTGTTCAACTCTGGAGCACCTAAACCCCTGAGCCGGAGGTTTAGATGCCACGTCACTCAGTGGTTTGATTTTGCAGAAGGAGGACTGTGGCTCATTCGATTCCCTTTTTACATTTCTATTTTGTTACTTCCAACATCTTCCATCACCAATTGAGACCTCAAGCAGGCCTCGCAGTTTTGGACCAGGATGGATGAAATTACTCGGCTGTTGGGCAGCATAGAGCGTAAACGCACCGAAAGCGTTTCCACACAGTCAACGGGCAGCAAACTGGCCCTGCTCCATCGGCTTCACCAGCTGATGACCTGCGTCGAGGACTTGAACCCCAAAAACGAGCTGCACGAGAAGGTGGTCAAGACCCTGGATTACGCCTTCCTCGTCTGCGGCAAGAGAGCCAACAAGCCGAAGAAGGACAGCTTCAGGTGGAGACTGATACTGACTGCTCAGCCGCCTCTGTTGATGTTTGAAGCTGGAGATTTTATCGCTTTAATGAGTTTGTACTTGTTGCAGTAGTGTAGCTTGTATTGATCTTACCTTGTCTTTCCCTGTTGTGCGTCAGTATGCTAAAATGTGGTTTTAGAGACAGCTGCTGTATTGAAACTCAGCAGTCATTTTGAAATGCCTCCATGGATTTATCTGAGCATTTAACTTTAAATTATCTAAATTTCTGTGGGATTTATCTGGGATATGAGAAGAGCATCAAAGTCAAATATGTTGTTGTTTTTTAAACTGCTTAATAAGTTTGTGACCAATTAGAGTATTAGAAATCATTAATATTACTTGATTTTTGTGTTTATATTTCTACATCTTCTACCAAAACATCCTCGTATATTGTAATTCAGGAGTGTTCCCTCGCTGTCCTTTAATGCTTCTGAACGGAGAGGACTTTCTTGTCTCACTGTGGACACATTTTAGTATTGCAGAAAGCAACACTGAGAACTCATTGTGGCTGGCGTGATCCCATTGCAACATGACCTGTACTTGTTGTCTGGCTTCAGGCAGTGACCAGAGACCAACACAAGACCCTTGCTGAGTGAAACCATCCAAGAAAATGCAGTCTTTTAAATTTAATTCATATGCTTTTATTACTTACACTTAAGTAAGTGTGAAAATATTATTCCATGTTATGAATGTTGCAAGTTTGGGTTCAAGGATGACTGATCTGATTATGTGTCAACTGCATCAGCCTGGCCTGCTTACGGTAATTGCACAATGGTGCTATTGTGGCAGCTTTTAAACCTGTGTTACGGGCTCGTCTTTGGTTCGAGATAAGCTGAAAGGACTTTGATTGTGAAGCTTAAATGATATGCTGCAGCTGAATGCGTGTACATCATGGACGCAGCCATCCCAAGTCCCATCTGTGAAGCCTTGGGCTGAGTGTTTAGCTGCTGAAGCCACATGTATTTGTATCATCTAGTGTCACATGTTTTATTGTAGTGACCTGTCAATTACATGGTATATTTTAGGATGCAGTCTCGCCCCAAAGTATATAATGCTTTAGTGCTCCTGTGACTCTAATGGGGAGCATAATATACAAAGTGAACATTGTGTTGTCTTAAAGAAGATTTGAAATTTGTTATTGAGACCCAAAAGGGACCAGGAAAGAGTTTATTGAGGTCATAATTCAGGTCATCTGATTTTCATACCTGGAAAAATTAAGCCATAATTTAAGATGGTCTCGTTTGTTTTAAAGGTTGAATGTTGTACCTGATATCTAGTTCAGGGGTAGGCAACTCCAGGCCTCAAGTGCTGGTGTCCTGCAGGTTTTCAATATCACCCTGGGTCAAATTAGGATTTTTATTAGCAGGCCTCTGGAGAACTTCAAGACATGTTGAGGAGGTAATTTAGCAATTTGAATCAGCTGTGTTGGATCAAGGACACATCTAAAACCTGCAGGACACTGGCACTTGAGGCTTGGTGTTGCCTACCTCTGATCTAGTTGTTTACTTCAGACTGTTTGTAATTTCCTCTTCTGTGCCCACAGGTTGCACATGGTAACGTGGAATGTGGCTACAGCTGATCCTCCAGACGATGTGACCACACTTCTCCACCTGAACTCTCCAAAGAGCCCTGACCTTTACGTCATTGGGTAGGTGATGTGATGCACAATGCATCTGTATAAGTGGATAAGGGGCCGATTTACAATCAGATTTGTGTGTGTGTGTTAGTCTGCAGGAAGTGTACTCTGGCCCGTTGAGGTTTGTGTCAGATGCTGTGTTCGATGACCCGTGGAGTTATCTATTGATGTCGCTTTTAGCGCCACAGAAGTACATCAAGGTAAAAAACCTTAGAAAACTCCCACGCATGCCATACAGTGGATGCACACTTTCACAGGGTCAGGAGGACACAGTTTGTGCTGTGTGTGTTTCAGGTGTCGTCCATAAGAATGCAGGGCCTGCTGCTGCTCTTCTTCTCCAAGCTGGAGCACGTCCCCTTCATCAGAGACGTCCAGGCGACGTACACACGCACAGGCCTCTTTGGTTACTGGGTGAGAAATGCTGAACTGCTTTATTATTTCACTTTTAGAAAAAATTCAGATGTGTAAAAAAAAAAAAGGGGGGGGGTGATCTAAATCAATCAGATGTGTTAGGGTTGTGCGATATGACCAAAATCTCATTTCCCGATATAAACATTTCTTATCCCAATAACGATATATATCGTAAAATAGAGCATTTTCTTTGTGAGTAATTAGTACATGGCGTGCTGCGGGGAAAAGCCTGTTCTAACGTTTATTTTGAGCACCTGACAGCTCTTTTTTGCTTCTCATCCGTAAACTCTCTCTGCACTCTTTCACGGGATTCTTGTGTAGTTGGCCGTAGGTGTTAGAAGAGGATTGTCGTGTTTGAGTCTGTGGTGGGGACTGGTTTGCAGCACAATTTTTCATAATACAGTTTTCTGGTCTGTGTCATAACCAAACCCTGTCCATGCTACAGAGGTAGCCCTTGTTTTGGAATAAGGTCCTTGACTAGTCCTTCTGTTTGGAGCTAACTGGTTATGCCCCATCTTCACTGGCCATGCTGGTATTCTCTGTGCCTGCATTCATGTGGTGACTGTAAGCGCCATTTATAGTTACTTCATGTTTTTATTTGAGGTAATTTGTTGGATGCATATTCAGAAATTAGATGTTTGAGAATAATGCATATCATTTCAGTTATTTTGAAAAGTCTCAACAGGATCTTGAGCTTTATTGTGAAAGGTTTATGTGGAAAATAAACAAGCAGACAGTGGAGCTACACAATGGTTTTACCGTCGTTGTTGCTAACGAAAGTACACGTAAAAACAGCTGCTTGTCTGTCTGTAATGTGGTTATTTTAAATAAAAGAGAAACAGAGAACTTTAAGAAATTAATACATGGCCACTACAGTGACCATGAAAACGATGAGAAAACATTGCCATAAACAGCTTATTTTGCGACACCACAAAACAAACGATAGCATAATATGAAACGATAGATGTATATCGTCATCCAATATCGAACAGCCCTTAGCTGCATTGTTGTGTTTTTTTTTAATTTTTATTTTATTATTATTATTTTAAAAATCTGGTGCATGCATTGGTCCCCTCAGGTTTTAGATACTACTCATCTCTGTTTGGTTATTTGTTTAAAGGTGTATTAAAATTATTATTTAAAAGCAAAACATTCTAGTACTTTGGGAAAAACTATTATTCAAAACAAGCCTCTGCCGCCAAAATTCTTAATTAGTGGATTTAGGATGTCTTCTTTAAGTCTGTCCTCATTGTGAACAAGTGCAGACTTCAGGTTTCCTCCTTCCTTTCCTTCCTATTTGTGTTGGATGCCTGTTTAAGGAAAGCCTAAATCAGTCACAGCTTATCGTAGTGTCACAAATCCCACCCACAGATACTGACCTTGAATTCAGATTTTTGGTCAGCTCAGAGGAGCTGTCTCCTTTCAGATGGATGAACTTGATCATCATCATTAACCCTTTAAAGCCGGTCGGAGCGGACACGCTCCATTTTGCGTAACTATTTTTAAATCTCGGTAGCACTGCAACCACGTAAGCTAGCGCAATAAATTTTTTTGCATATGAAGCCGGAGGAGATGCACTTACATCTTATGCCATCAGCTTGTCCTAGGTCACAGTTTCCTTCCACATATAGCTTCGCAAAAATTGCATAAAAAGCGCTTGCAGCAACAAAAACATAATATTCCAGAAACACGCTTTGCCGATCCGATCAGCTGTTTGTAACACTTCCTAGTCCATCAGCGTGAACTGTCGCATGTCCGCCATGAGCTGCCCGAAACCGGAAGTGACGTCATTTTGCGGAAATGTAGCTTTTTACGATCGGGGCCTTATGAGCCTATACTGGTGTTTTTAAAAGTTATGTTTGAGTTCATGACTTTCTGTGTCGTTTCTGGGATGCTGAGGACTCATATTGCACTGCTTGAAATAGTTTGTTTTGATGCATATGCTGTTATTTTGCAAATTTGCATTATAATATTTATTTTCGTTTTTCCTGCAGTATATGAAAATTGGTGTATTTCAAAAATAAAACTATGAAGACACTTAAAATAAATTTCCTGTGGTGGAAAACTAGTTTGTGCAACTTTTTTGTATTTACAGTTTTGAGGGATAAGCCTCTTAAATTTCTCTAACTAGAAATATATGTTAAAAAAACAAAAACGATTTTCAATTTTTTTGTAGTTTATTGCACTTTTTTGCAATTTATGTAATTACTATGCACTTAATGCATACATGTTATTAAAATTTGGGCTGTAATGGTTGTATTGATGTATAGCAACTTGAAATGCTCCCAAAAATGGCTCCACAGCATGTAAAAATATAATATAAGCTCTGGCGGACTTGGTTCTATGGTAGGTCTTAAAGGGTTAAGCAAAGCTCACACTTCCAAGAGAAGTAGTGCTGGCCCCTTTATAGACTGTATATAAACGGTGGATGTTGGTTTGTGTACTCCTTTCACCGTCATCGTTGGAGCTGGTTTTCTGTTTCACATGTGTAAACACCCTCTAATGTGTAAAACTAGCACACTTCTCCTTGAAATGAGGAATGGAGTAACATGTAGGAACATATGTGAAACCAGATCCCACTTTGTGAACTCCAGTATTTTTGTTTGGTCTTCAAGAGGGCTTCTGCATTTATTACATGAGGGTCACCAGCTGATGGAGGAGTTGTGTCTCTCGCAGCTTTAAAAACTGAACAGAGTATGGAGTCTAGTTCAACACATTCACTGTTTTTTCTCTTTTCTCAACCCTGTTTCACTCTCAGGGTAATAAAGGCGGCGTCTCCATCCGATTATCTTTCTATGGCCACACGCTCTGCTTCCTTAACTGCCACTTGGCTGCTCATATGAACTATGCCTCAGAGAGGGTGGATGAGTTTGAGTATATCATGGACATGCAGAGCTTTGACTGTAAAAGAGCTCCAGCTATTGTTGATCACAGGTGAGAAGACGCACATGATACAAACTGTGATTCACCTGAATGTTTGGGATAAGAAATGATGTTGAAGCTTCACATATCTCACCAAAGTCACTTCTTCATTATTCTTTCATGTGTCACCGTCCTCCTTCTCTGTCTCTTTTGCCCCTCTCCTGGTCAAGATTGGTTTTCTGGTTTGGAGATCTCAACTTCCGAATTCAGGACCACGGCATGCACTTTGTCCGCACCTGCATCGACAAGCAGAACTACAGCCTGCTGTGGAGCAAAGACCAGGTGTGGCCCTTTAAAGAGTCTCACAGGTCCTGATCCTCCATCCCACATAGCAGCCTCAGTAATGTGACTATGAAACATGTGTGTTGTTGTTTTCAGCTGATCATGATGAAGCAGAAGGAGCAGGTGTTGCAGGAGTTTGAGGAGGGGCCTCTGGACTTTCAGCCGACATATAAGTTTGACCGTAGCTCTGATACTTATGACACCAGGTAACACACAAGAAAACATCACCATAAAAACCATGAATCATACTCACCTTTCTCTTTGCTCACAGTATGCTGTATATGTTTTTATCTGTACCTCTTTCCAACTTTACAGACTCTACAACACATGGTTTGGCTTTAAGTAAGAGTTCAGAATCCATTTGTCCACATCTAGCACGTAGTTCACATAACCGAGCTTCACTATGTGTGTACACGCTACTTTTAACACGGCAGTAAAAGTAGTGTCATGTTTTTGTTTTTAATGTGGTAAGTTAAAATGTCACTCATGTGTTCAAAGGCTTACTGACGATTATGTTTATCTGTAACATGCTGCACATTAAACAAACACACAGGTGTTCAGGCTCCTTTCAGAAATGTGCTCCTTTCCTGCGCTTCGTGTCTTAAAGAGCACACGGCCCATGTTTCTCTAAAAGTTGGGACAGCGATCTGACGATGTGGGTCATGAATGCAGTCACATCAGCTGGATGGGCTTGCAAAGAAATTTCTGTTGCACGTGTTTGTCCGGCATCTCCACTTCCTCAGTACACTAAAAGTCATGATTGTTCTGGTGAAAGTCCCGATCAGCAATAACACGAGAAAAACAAAACAAAACGGTTTGACACGCCTGCTTGTAGTTTCTAGCTCATGATCTTTGGACAAACTAATATCACAGATAGCTTAATATGCTCCTGTCTATCAAAACAGCAATACACAGTAAACATTTCAATGCAAGCACTGGCCAATAATTAAATCAGAGTGTGAAACACATTGTTAGTATAGCTCTGGTTTTTGGAGAGGCACACAGACCTCTGCAAAAAACACGAAACATTTACTTTTCTCTACATTTAGTATTTATTACACATCAAATACAGTGGGAAAGTCTTCACTGTGACTAAGTTTGAGTCAACGACAGATCAGATTTGTAATGTGTGTAGCTTGTTGAGCTAATTGTGGGAGGCTTTCCTCTGATTTTATCACATACCTGGAGTGTCACACAGCACCAGAAACCATCACCAACTTATCCAAAGCAGGACAGTTGGATGTGTTTTTCTTAGGCAACACTTCATTAATTACTGTTAATTAATGCTGTGTACTTCAGTTCAGCTTTAGCTGTTTTTAAAGGGTACATTTTATTAAAGTTTATAAAGTGTGGAGGGATTCTTAATACTACATGCAGGATGTGACATGTGCAAGTGTCCAAGTGTCTACCAAAGTATAAGCACCTTGGTCAGAAATCGAGAAATGACGTCCGTTGATGTACTGCCCGATGTTGGATATAGCACAGCTGGATAAGTGTTATTAGACCACTTAATTAAAGTCTGATGAGTAACATTAATGTAAGAGTTACTCCTGTGTGAAAGAGAGCCGTCACTTTAACGGATTTATTAGCCAGCAGTGTGTCTGAAAGGGGCTGAACAGTCTAAGAAAGACAAACCCTATGGTTGTGTTTGCAAATCAAAGACCGAAATGCTTGTTGGTGCTACAGATTTTCATCTGCGCTCACATTATGGCAGCTGTTAAAGGTACACTGTGGATGCTTTGATCTCTACGGGCACATCAGAGCAAAGTTTTAGTTGTAGTTTTAGCTAGCATAAGTTCCTGTTTGTCAAATGAGATATATATATATATATATATATATATATATATATATATAAAAAAAAACAACACAGGGTACCTTTATGTATCATGTCTACACTGATGCAAATTTAACCTACAGCATTAGCTTTCAGAATGTGTCATATAAATATGATGTGCCTAACATGGATGGCTGTAAATGCATGTCATGCTAATACGGTACTACCATTGTGGATAATAGAGTGTGTTTGATTATAACGGGGTTCCAGTCAGAGCTGGCACTATGTATGATGGGGTGGGGGTGTGGGGTTCTGGGTGATGGCCAGAGGTGTGTGTTTGGTAAGGGAGGAGGATGAGGGGTAAAAATAGGCATTTTCAAACTGATACCTGGCGGTCCTTTGGTGACAGTGATGGCCTTAAACATTGTACTGTAAATAAAAGGTAAATGGACTGATTCTTATATAGCGCTTTCTACTCTCCCGGAGTACTCAAAGTGCTGTATACAACATGCATTATAAAACAGGTTTTCCAAGTATTCTTAACAAACAGCAGTTCAAAGAATACATCAGTATGCTGGTTTTCTTGTACCTGTGAAATACTTTCCAGTTACCCCGTCACTGAGGTCCTGGCATGTCATTTGCTGCCTGAACCTTTTATTCTCCCCAGCCCCACATCGTATTGGTATAAGGCACTTCAGCCAGGCATGTGCCTCATACCAACGCAGGTTCTTGCTTTAAACACTTGACTTTGTCTGACAACTCAAACCGGCCTCTGCTCTCTGTCCATCTGTCATCTATAACTACCTGTCCAGTGCTAAGAAGCGTAAACCTGCCTGGACTGACAGGATTCTGTGGCGACTCCGACCCAAAGCCCTGCCCCCGGATGAGGAAAATGAAAACAAAGTTGGGCTAGATGCAAAGAAGCTCAAGCAGCTGGAAGAGGACATGGAGTATCCCCTGAAAATCAGACAGGACGTGTACACCAGCATGATGGAGTACAGCATCAGTGACCACAAGCCTGTCATTGGTATCTTCACACTGGAGGTGAGAAACTGGAAACTGTGATTATCCAGATGCAGTCAGTCACCTTTCAGTCATTTGTTTATGACCTGAATTATTGATGCAGGTCATCAGTTGATTGTGTTGTGTATTTATTGTCGACGCTTTTGGAGATGATGTAAATCATCATCTTTATCATAGCGTCCCACTAAAAGTGAGCATGCAGGATGTGATGGGAAACATCACTTACTGCTCAGTGTGGAGGTAGCTGCAGTTATTACATTAAGCTGATATTTTGAAATATCAAACTAAAAACAAAAATTCATTTTTAAAGGACCAGTAACTGAATACATGTCGACGTTGCATATTTAAAATACAAAATCTGAGTAACTGTATTCCACTACAGGTACCGTTTCAAAGGGTGGTGTTCAGAATACAGTTTGTTGAAATAAATGGAGTACGCGGCAGTCTTTTTCTGTTTGATCTTAGGTTACGCCCTCTCTATTTGTGGTCATTCCACTCCGGTGGAAACCCAAACAAATCACGCATTAAGAGGCTCTAATGCCTGTGTCTTAATCTCTCGGCCTGTGTCACCTGTACTTGCGGTTCACATAATGACGTGAAGAAATATATGTAAAATTTATTATTCAAAAAAAAATTATTTAATATGAAGGCAATAGGCAGAGTGTTACAGGTACAGCTCTAAAGAATGTAGCCTCATGGGCAGTGTAGTCCATGCTGCAGGGGGAATGGACTGCTGTACCCGTTATGTCTGTGAGCGCGAGGAGGGAGAAAAAGGAGAGTTGAAGAGTGCGAGTTGTCACCAACCAGAAACCGGAAATGGAAGCATCTAAATATAATAATAATAACTGCAGCCAAAAAGAGTGCCTAACTAGCCTAGTTGTAAGTAAGCTATTAAGACTCGACTGTACACTGTGTTTTCCTCCAAAACAATAAGTTCCTTTGAAGCAGCCTTTCAACGGCTCTCTCTGTCTCTCGCTAGCAAAGTTGACCCAGACAACAAAGTAAAACTAGTTTTCGGTTACGAGCCCGACAAGAACCCGACGTATTAGCCAGAGGTCCCTTTACTACGGTTCAGAGCCGCGCACCTGTTTTATAAATGCGTAGAATAGTTTTCTATACAAGATCGCTGCAAAAAAGCGCAGCCTTACCTAATGTCCACCCTACTGTTACTCATTTTATATTAAGATTTAAAAATCTAGTTGGTATTGGTACGACGATTATCCTTCAGTAATCATAATAAATCACACAGCAATAGCATATTCATGTAGTTGTAAAAAGCATGATAATATATCAAGTAATCCAAAGTATTCTGAATACGTTACTCTCATTGAGTAATGTAACGGAATACGTTACAAAATACATTTTGGAGCATGTAATCTGTAATCTGTATTGGAATACATTTTAAAAGTAACCTTCCCAACACTGGAAATGAATATGGTTCCTTAGCAGTCCTCTTTTTTTGGGAGTTCTAATGATTACCGTGGAAATATATTGTAACTGAAAGCACTTGAGACTATAAACTTATCTGAAAATTCTTTATTGTACTTGTAACTTAACTTGACAGGTCATTTTTTCCCATAGACATTCGTACAACTGAAAAAGTGTTTTTGTATGCAGACGAGTCGCCCCCTGCTTACATGCAAAACGGGTTTTAGATGCTTTGGCTTCACACTCTTCTGACAAAGTGAATGTGACTTCAATATTGATGCAATCTCCTCTAACTATCCATCATAGATTTTGTCATGATAGTGTGACTCTCTTATCCCTCTTTTGAAAGTCTCCATAGCTGTGTGGTTCCTCTTGTACAGAATGTGGTTTCTAACTTGGACTGTTGATTTGTGCGTGCCTACAGCTGAGGAAGATGTACGAGACTCCTCTGGTGCGTCTGCGGGCAGAGGGCGACTGGAGCGCAGATATTGATGCCATGGTGGTCTACAGCCCTCTGCAGCCATTCCCCTCCAGTACTTGGGACTGGATCGGCCTCTATAAGGTTGACAACACGTGTTTCACTGCTGGCTGGTTCAGTGTGCTAGTTGAAAGTCTTCATGTTTGTGTGAATTTTCAGGTTGGTTTCAGCAGCGTGTCAGACTACATCACCTACACGTGGGTCAAAGACGACGAGGTGGCCTTCAACGAGGAGGTTATACAGGTGGTAACTCTTGTCTCAGTGAGTGGGACTGCAGTTTGAACACGAGCCGGAGCAAAAGTGCATGTAAGCCTCAGGTGATGGAAATGTTCTTGTTTCTGTAGGTTTATGTAAGTAAGGAGGAAATCCCCGTGCAGGGAGGAGACTGCGTGCTGTGCTACTACTGTAACGCTCTGAAGTGCATCATTGGAATAAGTGAACCATTCCAGGTAATGAATTGGAAATAATACATGAAAAGATATTATTGTCTTTTATTTGGAATTACACCTTAAAAGGATTTTCTGCAGTACTGTTCTCGTGTGGATGGAGGTCAGCATCAGTGTTATCTGCTCATCTGTCTTTTAGGTCCAAGCATCCAAGGTAGCCATTGAGGAAGGCATGCTGCCTGAAAGGATCAATGGACTCGACAAAGCTGTGTCTGGTGATGACTTTTAGAACTGAAGAGTCAAAAGTCTTAGATTTGGGAAACTGTAAGGTTTTCTGTCGCATTTCTTAACCTGCAGCTGAAAAAGCAACTTAGGAACTGTTCTCTCCTTTCCCCCACTGCACCACTGATCTCTCTAATGCTACCAGTGAGGCTGTTTTGTCATTTACTCCTCAGCAGTCAAACGCATTAAAATGGAAGCTCACATTTAAATTGGCATCATGTTGAGCAAAGAAATTTTACTCTTCTTTTAGTCTTTATGAGTAAAAATAAATAAGATGGAATGCTTAGATTTTACCAAATATGTTTGTGTCACGATGGATGGGTGAAGAATATTTTAGGGTTTGTGATACTCAAGGAAATGGTTAAGGCCTGATTATCCACAAACCACTGCAGATACAATTACTCATTCTTGTACTGTTTTTTTTTTTTACCACATGGATCCACTCATTCACTCCACGATGACCAAAGTTATATCACTGAGTCCACCCAGTGGACCCCCTCCACACTTACAGTAACTACAGTGGTGTTCAGAGCTATTGCGAACCAAAGTTTCATGTCACACCACTGTTTTTGAACTATTTTGCAACCCACAAATATTCACCTCCAGTGGTTTTCAATTTGAAGGTGTTTTCAAGACTTAACAGCTGCTCTGGGTTTATGCTTTATGGCTTTTGCCGCAAAGCATAAAAACAACAACTTTTCACTGAAATTAAAATATCTGACACTTCTGTTCCTATCTCCTGATGTGAAGAATATCACAAGTCAAGTCTTGCATAGTCCAAATGGAGGCACATGAAAGCTTGGCTTTGTACTTGGTCTGAACACACTACAATGCTGTGGGAGGAAAAATACTCACACCTACTCTTAAGAATAGGTTCGGCTCCAACTTCACTTTACTGCTACTGTAATGAAAAGGAAAAGGGAACATGAGTTAGCAAAACCCACGGGCCGTGTTTGTTTGAAGGGCACCATGGTCACGTTCGGACTGAGTAGTTATTCTGTGAAAAATGAGCTGTCAGCCTGCACTGCTTACTACTTGGAGTCGAGTATCCTCGATGCCAGTGTGCGAACCTACACTGCTAAGTTTTTATTTCAATGGCAAAACCGGTGTGATGCCAGACCAGCTGCTTACACATTAAAAATGTCTTAATTTATGGTTAGATAATGGCTAGTTGGAGCAACCCCTCAGATGACAGTAGTCAAAAGAAGCTCTACGTCCACAGTCACTGCATGTGACTGTGTAGAGGTCTGCAGGACCAGACAACTTAAATTTCCTTTCCACTCTTCTTTAAAACAGTACAGCCTTCAAAGGAGTTCCTCCTTTTAAAGTAGAGTTTTTAGCTGTAAGGTAATGATCTTAATCCGTACTGTCCTGAAAGCATCGCTGAGGTACGTAAGCTGGATCTAGTCATGATTTTAAATGTTTCCTGTGTTATTTAAAATATTAACTTTGCTTTTGGAATATCCATCCCTGTGACTGTGAGTGCTATTGGTAGGTGAGATGATTTCGTAGCTTTGATTTCTCTCTTCTCAGTGTTTTAATGAACTTCAGTTGCTCCTGGAGGACTTGAAAGAAAAGCTGTATAATACAACCTTGTTTTTTGTTTGTTTTTTTGCTGTGGCTGATTTTTTTTTTTTTTTTGCTTTCTGCCATCCACCTTCTGGAAGGTTCCAGTTTTATATAAGAAAAACAACGATTCCTATCAAGGTTGATTGTGACGTCACAGCAAAAACCTTCAAGAAATCTTGCACTGTTTACTGTATTTGTAGGCTCTTGTGGTATTGTTAGTGTGATTAAATACTATATATAAATGTGTAGTTTTGATTGAACCATGTGGATTCAACAAGTGCCTCTGACACTCCGCTTTACATTTACTGTACTGTACTATGCTGCTTAACTTTGATACATGTATCGTAACATTGACTTGATTACTTAAAACATGGCAAAATGTTTGTTGGAGATCTTTTTGAAATGTACATATTTTGCTTTGGTCTGTAGAAACATTTCCTGATCTGGATTATCAGCTGTAGAGGCGTCTCCCCCTTCTCTTGAATTTAAAGAAACTAAATGGCATTTGACTCAAAGCACCAGTTAAAAAAAAAAAAAAAAAGAATATTTACTACATACATGTATAAATACTTCCTTTAATTGGCAGATGTAGAGAAGAAGGAAAATAATTCCTGCTGCTGAGTGTTAATACCAAATTAACTTTTTGAGATTCCAGGTTCCACTGTATTCTCAGTAATGTCACATTTCTAAAACTTGGAAACCCACACCAAAATAATCTAGATGACTGCTACAGTCCAGGTTAAATATGTGAAAATATGCACACTTGATTTTTAGAGGGGACTGTCCCTTTAAATATTGCTGTTTTAAACTTTGAGCTATAGAAATACTTGTTGTGAATGTTACCGTTACTGATTTGTTGGAATCAGTTATACTTGCGCACACATGCACACATATATACATATCAATAAATATACATCTATGTTTTAACTGAAGGCTGACTTATTTTCTGAAATGCCAATGAAACATACTGTAACCGAATGCAAATAAATTTATAGCTCTGAATATGCAAGATTAAACCAGTGTGTTTGTTCTTGGTTCAGTGGGTGTCGCTTGTCTTTTCAGTTTCAAAGTGCATCTGCTGTCCTCATTTCCAGGAGCATACTTGTATTCTTGGACTCAGCCAAAGTAGAAAAAAAAAGAATAAAAAAAGCAGCTCCTCAGCTTTAAAGGTAGTTTTGGCTCACAGGGATTACTGACAAACACTGAGCTCATTAACAGAAAAGTTAGCATTTGTTTAACATGGGCACCTACAATTGTCATCTAAAACGTAATATTATTTTGGTACGTAGCATTTTTGGAATCTTTAATGTTCAGTTACATTTTTATACTATCACAGTTTAATATTTCTACTTTAAATGATTATACTTCTGCATTAAATTTCTTGCTAGTGGTTCTAAATTTCCTTTAATAAAGTGTATGCTTTCACTGACAGGCTGGCTGACAGCCATCTGCAAGGCCTCACTGAGTCACTGAACTGAACCACTCAACTGTGTTCTGTCAGTCTGTCTTGAATTTTTAATGAAATTAATTGACAATGGCTTGCTGTGTGGTACAGGCCTCCGTTTTTCTGAGTATATTGTCCATCACTTAGCACTAATTAGCAGATATACAGTGCTTAGCATAAATGAGTACACCCCACTACATTTGTCAGAAAACCTTTAGTTTCCTTTCACAATCAACATTTCTATGAGATACTATACTACAAAATTCTCCCACAAATGTGGGCCATTGAATGCGAACAAGATTTGTGAATTTGCACAGACAAAAAAAGTGATTTTCCTAACAAATTAATTCAAGCCCATGTGGCAAAAATGAACACACCCCAATTAGTCTTAGGAGAAAAGCCACACTTAAGACTACAAAATTCGAATGAACAGGCATTCAACCACAGGTGAGTCTAATGATTCATTTAAGAGGTGCCCAGCAAACAGGTGATGATATAAGGGAATTACTTAACAAAGAAAAGCCCATCGTGCAGTTTTCCAACACAACAATGATCCAAAACACACATCCAAAGCTTCTGTTGCTTTTCTGAGGAAGAACAGGGTGAAGGTGTTTGAGTGGCCAAGTATGTCTCCTGATCTGAACCTAATCGAACACCTGTGGGAAATTCTGAAGCGACAAGTTGAGCATCACTCTCCAACCAGCATCCACTCTCTAAAAGAGGTTATTCTTGAAGAATCGAAAAAGATAATGTTGCAATATGTCGCCAACTTGTTCACTCCATGCCTAGAAGACTTGGTGCTGTCCTTGAAAATCACGGTGGTAATACAAAATACTAGATGTAGTAGTTTTCTGTTGCGTGGTGTATTTCAATTTTGCTTCAACCAATAAAAATTTTGGAAAGTGTTCTTTTGTTCATTGAGCTACTGATTAAATTTCTACTTTTTAAAGGGGGTGTACTCATTTATGCTGAGCACTGTATGTCTGTACGTGGGAGATGTGTGGTTTGCTTCCTAACCAAGCTTTCTAGCCTTAGCTGCCAAGTTCAAACTGACTTGACTCATTCAAATCTAGTAACCCTCACAAAGATGAGGCCTAAAAGACTCATTTGCAAGCAGAATATGAAACCATTGGTTGAAGTTACAGT